TGCTGAACTTTATTCATTTCTATTTTAACTGATTGATGTCCATAAAGATACAGAGATTCTTCTAATTAGAATTGGTTGGGATATTTTAATTTACTTCTGTCAAATGCAAGAAAAAGTACATAGAGCCCTGCTAAAATAATATTTATTTTTTTTAAAAAAAGAAAAGAGGAAAAAGAAAATGAGGCATTTTAGGCTCAAGAAAGGGAAGAAATGGGTCAGTAAAAAAGAAAACTTAATACATTTTTTTTTTCTGTTCATACTACAGGAGGAAATTGTTCCTGTAGCTATTGCAACCAATTTATTCCTAGTTGTATCCTCTGAGGATCTGACCTGTTTGTGGTTGCGAGCATTGTGCCAGGTTTTGTTTTCTTTTGGCCTTTACAAATCGTTCTTGTCTGTGTGCACATTCTTGGACAGATTCTTCCCCAGTGTAATGCCACTAATTCTGCTGATACGATGTCAGGAGTCTATTAGGTCAATTATGAAGTTATAGGGCTCAATCCTCAGTTATTTTAAAGTGTTTTTCTGGCATTAGAAAAGAGCTGTAAAATGAGTCTCCATGTGAATTATGCCCACTTCAGGAATAATAGAAAAAATATTTGAAGCTTACATCATTCAACAGTGATCCCCGAGACAAACTTTAAATGAAACAGGGTTTTGTGAAAACAGGAAGTAGAATATTTTAATCTCTGTATGTATGTTTTAAGAAGTTTAAGTATATTTCTCCAAACTGCTGGGGAGTACACATATATTAACAAATGTATTGGAACACCTGGATTCTGAAACCAGCCCTTGCTTTGGCTCTGGGCAATGAAAACAACTTCTTCCTCCATTTGTGTCTCAGTAAAGAATCACTTAGGGATTATACTGGCAGATACTGTTTTATTGTGCCCTTCAGATATATTCTAAACCTATTTCATTAATGTTTATAAAATCAATTCAGATACATAGGGAGAAGGCATTGAAATAATTTGTAGAGGTTAAAAAATTATTTAAATTTCAGGCTGGTGTTGCCACACAGGCCAAACTATGGACACTAACAATATATAAGATTTAATAATCCTATATAATGTAATGATAATATGTAAATGAAAGTAACCTTCATCAGATGATTAAATTCTGGAAGACTATCCTGTAGGAATTATAGGATCTGAAAACCTATGTAATTGTAAGGTGTGGCTGAATCAGAATATCAATAGCAGTTTATAACATAGTTGCATGCAGTGGAGGAGAGTAACCTCCTTAAAATCCCTTATCCTGGTATCCCTCATAGCTGTCAGCCCTTTATGAAATGCTTGGAAGATGTAAATGGTGTAACTTTACAGAGAACATGCTCAGTAATGAGTCCAGTGTTTGACTTAATCAAAAGAGTAATCATTTGTCTTTGAGTGAAAATTACTTTCTGCTTGTCTTCTCAGAGTCTCAGTCTGTAAGTTTTTTGTCGGCACTGATTGCAGTGGGAGACTTATTTGGAATAGGTGTACAAAACCCGATAACTTTTAATGGCAGACAAGCAATTTCCCCTCTTAAAGGCATCTGCCTGCTTTTCAGCTGCTGAGACATTTCTCTGTGTGTCACTAGGTTACCCCTAACTTCCCAGGTCTTCAGTCCCCAGCTTTGCTTTGTTTGCTTGGGTGGACTACCACCAAGGCACTAACCTTCCATAATGGTCAAACAAACCTTTAATTATTTCCTGAGTATTTTCTAATTTAAAAAGGGGAAAAGCCCTTGTACATGCCTGCTGCTAAAACTCTGGTTATATATGCACGGTTGAACAGCAACCAGAACGAGGGAATTTTGTGTGTTCTGCAGAATGGAAATCTAATTTTAATTTATGGAGGAGAGGGTGATTTGACTTGACCAGATGCTAGACATGCAACCTGTGAAACTTCTGTCTGCCTAAATTCATAGGCAAAATAGGCAAAAGGGATGGTTTGAACAGTTTCTGAAATGAGATGTTAATATTCAGTTTTAATGAATAAGTCTTCACTTCACAACTTAAAAAGACTCTGCTATTTTATTTTTAAACATAAGCTGTTTGAGTCCTGTCTCTGTGAAGATCTGTGCCTTAGTTTTCTTAAATTCAAGTTTGTTATTTTAGAGAAAAGGTTAAATATGAACCCTAAAGATTTAAAAACAGCAACAAAAATGAAAAGAGCTCTACATTAATTTTTATTTTAAAATTTCATTATTTCTCTTCCCTGAGACATACTTGGGGTTGGGTATATTTGAAAAATAGCTAGCTAAATTATTTTGCTGTATCCAGCAATGTGCTGAATTAGCTACGGTAGGCTTTTTATTTAGCAATTATTCTGCAAGGTTTCCTCCCTCCCTCCTCTCCTCCCTCTCTTCCTCAGAACAGTAATTTTTGCAACTCTCACACTTTGGTTGAAGTTCATGACAATTTTGTGTCCTTCACTATCAGTAATTCATTGCTAGAGCTTTCAGTAGTATCCTTGTCTTTTTGCCTCGCAGGAGTCCCTAGGAAGTGCTGCAGGAAGCAATGTTTTTTGAGTAGTTGTAACAAAAGTGTCAGGCCTAGCTGCACTGGACGTTGCTGCAGTCCTCCTTTCCAAAGCTATGACCCTCTGCAATCGCAGCGAACAGCGGCTGGCTCGTTTCTCCGCGAGAGAACCTGTGCGTTCTTGCCTTGCTGTGTGTGCAGGTGGGCTGTGCCACCCGCAGGGAAGGGTCACTGAAGTCCAGCGGTGCAGAGGAGTTGTGGGCACGTGTGCAGGGCCTCCAGCAGGGTCAGCACCTGCATGCTCCTTGCTTTCGCTCCTCTGTGCCGTGGTCAATGTTTTCGTGTTGTCACTAAACGAAGCAAGGGCTCTGTTTGGACCAAGTGCCTCTATCCGGGAGCCCCATGAGAGAATGTTCCGTGCTGTCTCCTTTCCCTGTGGGGAAGGAGAGCATCCAAAGGAGAGCATCCTCGTTTGCTCATGGATTTGTTCCCTGGATGTCTGGTCTAGTCACTGCCAGCTACTGAAATGCTCATGGCTGGGGTGGGAAGGACGTTTAAGCTCTTTTCACCTTCTTGACGCAGAGGCTTAAAAACAACTCTTTAAGAAGTGACCTTTAATATCTGTAGTAGAAGTGAGCAGGGAGCTGGACTTGATGATCCAGAAAGTGTGCTTCAGGGTAAAATCTTGTAAAAAACCTGGCTATTTCAGTTAGTTCAGTTTCTGTGGGGACTCAGTTTGAGGTATTACTTCATAATTTCAACTGAAGAAACCTCTGACTTGTGTGACTTCTTGTACACGTGATGAAACTCACCCCTTTAGGGAAGTTCAGAGACAAGATACAAAGAGAGTTTGTCTGTGTGAGCAGCTGAGAGGAGTGCTCGTTCCCGAGTTTGTGCTGATTTATATGTGAATGGTTGCAGCAGAATAGATGGACTTGCTGCTTTGACTGTACTGTGAACAAGAAAAAAATACACTCAGTTGATAGTGTTTTAAATCAAAATAAATAGTGACACACTTCTTCATGGAAGGACTGTGAAAAAATATTAACAGAAAACAGTGCAGAAAGCATCTGAAGCCACCTTTGTCCGTAGTTTCCACAATGTATATTTCTTAAACTGTTTTTCTCTTCACAATTTTTTATTAAATATCCTGGTTGCCATCGGCCCCTTACACTGCTGGAAAAAAAAATGACAAAGTTTCAATCCCGTCTTCTAGGTCCCATCTAAATATACATTCCTGAATAAAACATGTCAGTCGCCACTGAGGCTGGAAATGGCCTGTTCTGCTTTGAGGAAGGGGGAGGCAGATCACTAATGGTTGCTCAGGCTGTCATGTTTCTAAGAATCAGCTGTTTTTTCTTTATACTGCAAAGATTAAACAAAGAATGTTAAACATTTCCCAATTTAGCATTTATAATGGAAAGCGGCTGTAGGGCCACAGCTTGCTGCTGCAAGGGCAGGCGTTCATATGAGGAGTCGCTTAAAAAGGCTTTTATTTTCTTTGAAGGCCTATCCATTCTCCCAGCCCGGCCGCTGTGCTTTGCAATCAGGTGGAGGCAGCTTTAAATTTTTACTTTCATTTAAGTAGGAGCTAATTTACGTTTGGAAATGAAAGTTAAAGCATCTCAGCCATCTGCAAAGTGGAGGAGGAGGCAGTGGGTTTCTTTAACTTTTCAAATCTCTACAATCCTTTTTCACACCAACAGGCAAGCAAAAATTATCTTTCAGAGCTCCTATTAGTAATAATATGTAGTACTAATGATCTAATTTCTTAGCTTCAGGTCTTTATCTTCGTTTCTAAGATATATCTGTTGGTTAAGTTCAGTTGCCTTTATACTTGCATCCAGCTCAGGATTTTAGAAATAAAAAGTTGTAGTCTTGAGTGCAGCAAAATCACATTTTTTGACCTCTGGACAGCACAACTTTCTCTGTAGCATATCATTATGGATTAAGTGGAGCACTGTGACTTTCTGTTTGTCTTAGGTAAAGGGAAAGGACGCTTAAGGGTGACTGGTAAATAAAAAGGAAAAAAAAACCAGGAGGAGTGACATTTTCATAAACTGTCATTACATATACCTTTATCATGTCTGTCACCCTTTCTTATTTTTCAGTTTTATAAAAATGTCCTTTGCCTGCCTCTCCATTGGCTAGTTTTCAGAAATTCAGTAGTCCTCTGTCTTCTCATAGGGACAAGAGCTAAACTTCTTACATGATTAAACCATTTTTCAGAAAAAAATATTTCTGTTTTTTTGTATAAACTGTGAGCACTGTAAAGAAATCAGATATCCATTTTCTGCCTGCATGTAGATTTTGTCTAAACAAAATAGCCTTGTACTCAGCTGTCATAAACATTTGTGTATTATTTAGATGTCTACATGAGTAATTTCATTTGCCTCCTTCAGTGTCTTAAATATGTTTGTAGATGCTTGCCCACCTTTTTGTTTCTTAAGGCAAGCTTTTTGCAGTTGTTTTTTTTTATAACTCAAAGTTTTAGTATAAAAATATTTCAATCTTCTTGTGATTACATTTCTTACAGAATGTTGGAATTTTTGGACTGTGCATCTGTTTAGGCACGTGGAGAAAGACAAGACTGAGATCATGTAAGTCATGAAACTGAGAGTGAATAATCCATACTTTGTTCTTTCATCATTTTTACAATTTATACCCAGATGCAAGTAATAAACCAAAAAGAAGAAAAATGAAAAAAAAACCAAACTAGTTAGCTTTTATTTTTAAAGTGATTAATGAAAAGCAAAGTTCAAATGAGGCCACAAATCCTGGTGGTGCACAATGGGTTGATTTATTTTGTAAATAGACCATGGATAATTAACCATAAAACAAAACTTTTTTTTTCTTTTTTTTTTTCTTTTTCTTTTATTTTTTTTTGAAAATTGCATAATGACACTGGTTTCTTTTAGTTGCTGTGAGTTACACAGAGGGAAAACAGCTTATTCACAACTGGTTGCAACTAGTTACAGCCAAGAAAAGAAAAATCCCAGAGCAAAGAGAGGGAAAAGGCTGTTAAAATCCTACTGCACTTGTAGTTTCATAGTGAGGCATTTGCTAATGGCTACAGACTGAGAAAAGCAAGAGTAGATATTTACATCCTCTGATGGTGCTTGTCGTGTTAGCCCATGTTTTGGCTCAAAACTCACAAGAAAAAGACAGCCCCTGCAGCTGGCCTTGTAGTCCACGATTTTGTATTGACTTCTAAATAGAATTATTTATGCTTTGTTGCAAGTTTCCACTACATGTCTTACTACTCTGACACTGAGGGAAGAGTCTTCTGGATAGTCATAGTCTGACTTGCTGCCAAGTCCTCTCGTGAGCCAGAGAGTGATGCTAGTTTTTCAGATATGTGATATGAGAAAACTGTCTGCCCAACATCCCCAAAATTTGTCTCTTCATAATCCACAGTCATCTGTGGAAGGGATCTCTGATGCCCAAGAAGGAGAAGGTCCAATTTGTTGTGAAAGTACATTCACTACTAATTAAAACTACCAGCTGGGATTGCAGCCCTGGAGACTGTAAATAAAGTAGAGCATGAGATGTTCAGATGATAATATGGCCACTTTTGTGGTGGTTTGTATTAGCTGCCAGTCCTTAATTTGTTCATCTCATGCCAATTTATGAGATTGAAGAGAAGGATCATGTAGGTAACAATCAATATGCAAGAGGTTGGAATTGCCACACAGCAACTGAATATATGGACACCTTAGTTTGCTGTCACATGCCAGGAGTGCCTTAAAATGCTTTTGACTATATGTGTAAGACCTGCAATTCACACAAAGCTAAAAATCTGTGCTCATGTAACCTGCTGGTGCAGCTGTGCTGTGTTTCACAGATGGTGACTCTAAAGGACTCGCAAAAAGCCGTCCTCATTCCAAGCAATAGCCTGGGTAGGCAGAGGTAGTGGGTAAAAGTGGTTATCACGGTATTGTTTTAGCTGTGTTGACTCGGTGTGTTACAGCAGCCTTACAGACTGCTGTTTGTAAGGGTTCTCTATCCGACACTGATTTGTGGGCACGCGGTTTCTTCTGTGAATTTGGAGGATTTCTCTGTCAGAATGTACTGCGAGACTGAGGAGAGGAGAAGCAGATGATTAACATCAGACCATCACCTCTACCTGCTTGAGCTTAATGCGGATAACTGAGAATAAGGATTCCGTGTTTTTAATCTAGACCCCAATCACAAGGCAGGATCTCAGATCAGCGCTTTAAACCCATAACTAGGGAACTGATGAGTTCCCTCTGTGTTACTGAGACTGGTAACTACAACACATGGGCTGCCACTTGTAATCTGCTTTTAGGCCAAAGAGTCGAGTTAAAATAGCACTTAGTTTGAGCAAGAGGCTTCTGTTGTGGGTGGGAGTCGTGCTGGGGGCAACATTAGCATTGTACTTACAAACAACACTGAAGTAAAGACAAGACCCCAAAAATAAGTTAACTCTCCAAGGCTCAATACATTCTTTGGCTTTTCTACAAGTCCTCTTGGAAGGGAAACCAGCCAAGGTCCACTGTGGTAGTGCTAAAAGGATGAGCCTGGCCCATGGCATCTCCCTTGAAACTGCTTTTTGTCAGGCTTGTGCTTCTGGGAAGTGTGGCAATGTATGGAATCTGCTACATACTGTTTATGAGTTAGAACTTGATTTTATTGACTAACAGTCCTTGTATCTTGTGACAGTCTTTTTCTGTGCTTTGCATCATGCCAAAGAGACAGGGGAGTGGTGTTGGCATGTCTTTGTATGAATAGGTCTGTCATTAAATATTTGAAATAGAAACATCTGAAATAGATCTTGCCTGAGAAGAACAATGGGATAACTAGAGAAATCCAGTTTTCTCCAAATTTGCTTTTGGGGCTGGGAGTTTTAAGCAAACAGAATTAGAAATAAAAAAGAAAAAAAAAAGAAGAAAAAAAAAGAAAAAGGAAAAAAGAGCAGGTTAGTGCATGGGCTTAAAAACAACAAACCCAGGGAGGCATGAAAGGAGGCACAAGGAAAGTTAGAAGAGTGGAGGGATGCTTAGCAGAGGGAGGGGTTTTCTTGTTTGTTTGTTTTAATAAATAAGATCAACTAAGGGAGAGGGAAGCTGCTGGTAAAAGGATTGAAAGTCCTTTGTTCACAAGAGGCACTGTCTTGTAAAGGGAACCTTTTTTACTTGATGTGGATCTAAGCCCGAGGACCACTGACTGCTAGTGGGGATGCTGAGGCATGAACATGCATTTGGGTATTTCTTGTTTCCTCTGGTCTCTAAATCTGTATTTTTATTTAGTGCAGGGTGAGGATTCAGTCCTCTTCCTCAGGCAATTCCTCTGAAATCTTATTGTTAGGAAAGGGTTACAATCAGCCTTTGCTGCAGGCACACACAAGATGAAGGGGTAGGGTTTTCAACTCCTTTCAGACTGTGGAAAGTGTCAGCACATGGGTCCAGCATGCAGAACACAAATTCAACAGCCTGCTTGGTGTGCGGCAGGAAAAGCTCTGTTAGAGGTAATTGTAGTTCAGGCTTTTGAACAAGCCTTTGTATTTCTCTCGTGCTAATAACCTATTGGTGAGGATATGCAAGCCAAACTCCTTTTATTTTAGCCAGTCTTATCTCCTCCCAAGTACCTCTCCCCATATCTAATACCTAAAAACTCCACAAACAAGGTAATCTTGACAGTTTCCCCCAAGATTTTGCCCATCTCAGCCTTGCCAAGTGTGGCATCTGATGTTGTAGTAGGCAGGTTCAGGTTCTGGTTAAAAATGCTTTCATGGGGGACTAAGCAGTACAGGTGTTTGAATACTTCTTCTCCAAGCACTGCATTCAGAAATTCACTTTATAAGAAACAAAAATTTTTTGTTTCTTACTGAGAGCCTGACCATGTTACAAAAACCCCTCACCAAATGGCATGGGAGACAACCACTTCCCATAAGCATCTCAGTGCTGAAATAGCCAGGAATGACAGGGAATGATGTGCTGTCATTGTTAAAGGCCTAGCTGTGCTTCAGCTCTCCTTCTGGTCTTCAGAAATGAACAGTTTCATGCATTGGCACTCTTGCTGCTACCTGATCTGGGTGAAAGCCCTCAGTTCTTCCCTGTTTAGGCCAAGATTTGTCTTATAGTTTCAGTCAAGCTTCACATGACTTCATGGTATTTTGCATTTTAGTAATTTGCAAATGTATGAGCAGTGATCAAGAGCTTTCTTAGGAGGTGAAGCAAACAGTTAAAGGAATTTTAGATGTTAAATATTTTACTAATCACAACTGCTCTTACATTTTTCTACTGGTTAAGTTTAAGGTTAAAGGGCAGAGCAGAAACAACTGACATTCCCATCATTTCTCCTCACTTCAGATCCTTCTGTAGAAGTCAGACTGTCTGTGACTCGCATTCTGCTGCTTTGTCCTGCTCAGAGCTGGTTCTGATACTTCCCCGAATGGCAGCAGTAACTAATGGTACTTGACCCAGCAAGATGTGTGTTAGTTGTTCCATAACTGGCTGTCTGAAAAAGCCTCATACCTTTCACACATTGGCAAGCTCCACCAGTTCTTGGACATGAACAGCATTATCAGTTGGATTCTTAATAATAATTAGATTGTCACTGATATATTGGTAGTATTACAGAGGTATCACAAGCTTCTGAGGCTCACTAAAGCACACTGAAGGTCGGGACTACAAACACTATAAAATACATACTTGTATTCTCTTTGTGTGAAAATACTGGTTCATTTTTAAAAAAAAAAATCATCCAAGATTCTTATTTGTTTTTTCTATTCGTATTTCCAGATAAAGCTTTTCAGCATTTGTGGAACAGAAATGCATTTGTTTCAAACTTTTATTTCAAAAATGTATTTTATGTTCTAATATAAAATTTAAATCAAAACTGAGAGTAGCAATCAAAACAAAATTATTTTGTCAAAACAACATTCAATTGATTGAAATGATTTTTTATTTTTGTTTCATGGGTAACTTTGCAATGCAGTGTTTAATTCAACTGTGAAACAAAAGCAAATTTCAAAGTCTAGCTATCCTGTGAAGCAAAAATATTGGGTTGTGTTTGGGCTTTTCTAGGTGGTGCTTAAGGGAGTGCTTCCTCAGAATTCAACTGAATCTTTTTAATTAAAAAGAAAAGAAAATTTGAAGTGTGAGGACCCGACAGCACAAGTGGAAGGAGGCCTCAAGCTGTGCTAGGGGAGGTTCAAGTTGGACCTCAAGATTTGTTTCACTGAAAAAGTTTTAAGGCTTTGAAGTGGGCTTCCCAGGGAAGCGGTGGAGCCACCATCCCTGGAAGCACTCAAGAAGTGACTGGACGTGGCACTTAATGCTGTGGTTTGGTTAACATGAGGGTGTTTGCTCAGAGGTTGGATTCAATGATCTTGGAGGTCTTTTCCCACCTAAATAATTCTATGACCCTTAGACTATTCTGAAATCTTCCTGTATTGATGTTATTATTGGACTTTCTATCTCTGTAACTGTTGATCAGAATCCATCTCTCTAACCGTATGTAGATTCAACCTGGAAATGTATTCTGTGTTTCTGCTCAGCAAAGAAGCTGAGAAGGAAGGCTGGGAAGCCTTTGATACTGTTTCAGCTCTCCTGACTTCCATCTCTGTGAGCTGGTT